GTGGCTGGCAGGCTCCAGCCTGTCCCAGCTTTTCAGCAGTGCCCAGCGGCAGATCCCTGGAGGGTGCATCCCTGGCTGTGGCAGGGAGGGCAGCTCAAGGTGGAAGAGGGGGAGCATCTGCCGAGTGACCGGTCGCTTACTCCCCACAGCTTTTCCAGTCCTGCCTAGGTTTTACAGGCATTTTTTTACACATTGCAGGCAGGAGGTCCTCTGGCAAGGATGGGTGACAGGCGCAGGCGATGGCTGTATACATAGGGCACGCTGGTGGCTGGGCCACGAGGCGGACATCTCTGCAGTGGAGCCAGGATCTGCTGGGCAGCATGGAGAGCTCAGCCCCCAGCCCCGCTCCAGCAGGAAACTTGGTGGTGACATGAAAAGCCTCTCCCCTACTGCTCCCACAGCCATCGGCCCTGAAACGGCAACTCAGAGGGCTGGCGTGTCTTAACCATCACCCATAAACCATGCCAGGAGGTCTCGGTGACAAGTCAGGGGGGCTGTGGGGCTGGAGGGCTTGTGGCCAGAAGCGGGGCAAGGACAGCAGCTGCCTCCCCACTGCCTTCCCAGCGACCCTAGAAATGTTTTGGGACGGACAGTGGGTTCACAGCTGGGGCATAAGCACCAGCATGCCCGGGCATGGCAAGGATCCCAAGAGCATCCACAAGGCTTGTTTGCTGATCTCTTTTAACAAGATGAATTCTTCCAGCAGTGGGAGATGAAGCAGATCCAGTTGGTGACATTTGAATTCCTGAGTAGATGAGCCTGTCAGAGTGACAGAGCCGGTCCCCGCAGTGCCCCAGCTTGCCTTCTGCTTCCCGGCAGGCACCGAGGGGCACGGCGCAGCATGAGCACACTGCCACCTCCTTCCATTCTGGCACGATTCTGCTGGGATTTTAGTGACTGCAGGTCATGTCATAGCCACCTCGTCGCATGTCGTGTAGCCCTGGAGCTGCTCTCTTGCCTGATCGGGAGAGATCCTCTGGCTGGGAGGCTGTGCCCAAGCTGTTCCATGGGCGGGCGATGGGGTCTATTCCTTAACAGACAAGTGGGGAGAGGAAAATTTGTGCTGCCAGGGAGGTGCCACCTCCTGCTGCTGCTGGGGAAGGTCTCCCGAAATACTGTCTCAGTGCATAATCCTTGTCCTTTCTGATGCATGAGGCCAGGGGATGCTCCATTCCTAGATGGATGAGGCCAACCTGGAGAAAGTCCTAGAGGGGGTCAGGGGTGGTGGATGATTTGGAAACAACCCAGGGGTAAAGATTGGATGGTGTGCTATTTCACCTGGGAAAGAGGAGTGCAAGAGTCTTCCCCTACATAAACCCTTGTTCCCAAGAAGATGAGGATCAGCACCCCACCACAGCCCTCAGATGGGCCAAGAAGGAGTTGGTTTCATGGGAAGCAGTGGGTCTGACATAGCAGGAGGATGCCAGAGCTGCTGTGCATGTCAGGACTGAACTGATGGGCTCTGGATGCATTGACTATTGTTGTGTTTGTGTAGCTTGACTGTATGGATTATGTGCAATAAATCCTGTGCTTCGGATGCCCGGTGGAGGGTCCTGCACAGAAATAAGCCTTGTGCACTGCACTGTTGCCTCTGTAGGAAGGGCGAGCTCCCGGTGGAGGCTGAGAAGGGAGGTGGCACAGCATGACCTTGTGAAGGGACGAGTCCCCTTCCCTGCCCTACTTACTGGGTCCTGCTGTCCTAGCCAGAAGCCTGGCCCCGATGCCGTCAGCATCCCACTGTTCACCTCTTGCTGAGCTCCTCTGCCCGTGTGAGACTGCATTTGATTTGACTCGAGGGCTCTGCCTTGCAAACTCCACGTCCACCTTGCTGCTCCATCTGTTGGCTTAGCTGCAGAGTTAGCAAGGGGCTTCCTCCTCAGCTGCAGAGTGTATTATTGCCTGTTGAGCATCTCTCTTGTTTTGCCATGTTGTTGAGCCTTCACTAATTTGCTCTCTGCTTACACCTTTGCCTTTGAATTCTGCTCTCCAGGCTCTCCAGGTTGTTTCTTTCCCTTACAGCAGCCTTGCAGCCTTCCTCTCTGCTGAGATAATCCTAAACCTGCTCTGTCCTATGCTGACACCTGCCTCTTGGTTGCAGTTTGCTGCACCTCCTCCTGTGCTTGCCTGGCTTCTGTCTGCCTCCTCGTCTCCTTTGGGATGATCACAAGGACAATCTCCCTTGCATCCCCTTTGGATGATCCCCTTATCCATTTCTGTTGTCCTGGCTCCCCACCTCATCACCTCTGCCCTTTCCTCAAGTCTTTATGGAGCCTCATTCCTTTGGTCTCAGCCTGAATGGGACAGCATTCCCAGCTGCCACCTCCCTGCTCCTTGGGGACATTGTCCTCTCCTGAGCCCGGCTGCTGGTGCTGAGCTCTGCAGCGTCCCTGCCAGGAGCTGGGTTGCTCCGGGAAGAAGCGCAGCAGCAGAGGCCAGCTCGCTAGCCTGGCTCCCAGCTTGATTCATACAGGCGTAAATTAGGACAACCAGGCTCTGGTTTCCCTCCATTTCCTTTTGGGGAAAACCATGGATGAACTGGGAAGAAGTCAGGTATTAAGCATCCTCATAGCTGTCCGTAATGAGGCAGGCATTGGTATTCACAGTGGGTGTCCGGCCACTTCAGCGTCGTCCCACTGACCTGGTCCATGGCCATGGACTTTGGCTGCAGGGTACCTGGGTTCTTCTGCCTTCAGAGAGACAAAACTGCTTCGCACCCTGGCAGAGTGGAGCATCCTCATCTCGCCTTATAGGATAATCCTTGAGTGTGAAGCAACATTTGGCTCAATAGCTGGTCCAGGACCCTGCTCTTCATACAAGTGTGCATTTTTATTCCTTAAAAACCACAAGTCCCACATTTTGTGTGTGTGGAAGGGGTGTTTGTGCTTTGGGGGAGTCAGTACTACAGCTGTGTAATTGGAAGGGGAGTTGTAGGAGCCTAGATAAATTGTAGGGAGAGGGTATGTCCCAGATCTGCTCTTTAGGAATCCCAGGTGGGCTTTGGGACATCAGCATGGGATGTCTTGGAGGCTGGACTGGAGCCCTGAGGTTTTAGACTGGTTAGAGATTTCACATGAATTTAGTGAAGCTGTCTTTGCTCTAAGATCCTTTGAGTTGTCCCTGTCTGCATTAAGTGGTTGAGGGCCAACTGGATGCATCCAAAAAACCTGCGAATCTTGGAGATACCCGTCTCTGGTACGTGTTGCAGTAACCTAAAATAACGAACCGAGCTGAAGATTGGCTGATGGGCTTGTGGTTGGTAGAGCAAGGGGCAGAGCAGCAGGGAGGGTTCTTGTCTGCGTTGTTGCTGAAAAAGCAGGAGTGATATGAGCCGCCTCTGCTCTGCTGCTAAAAACAACCCAGCTTGTTTTTATTTAATACAGTTTTGATCTGCATGTGTTAGTGTTTCACCTGCCTGTGAGTGGGAACTCCGGGCTCCAAGCGCCTTGGAAGCCCGCCTGCGTCCCTGTGCATCCCTGCGGCACCGGGCTCGCGAACGTGGTTCCTGCTCAGTGGGAGGAGGGACTCCGCCGAAATTCAGGCTTGAAGGCGTTGGGATGGGATGTAATGAGTAAAACTTCTGCTGGGGTCTGTATTTCTTCTGCTGTGGTGCCGCTGGGTAAACTGGGGCTCCGCAGAGCCAGCTCCTGCAAACTTTCCCAGGAAAATAGACCCCAAAACAGCTCACATGGGGGTTTTTTCCCTGTCTTGCTTGTGCAGCATCCTGCCAGCACGGAGGTGGCTCTCCAGGTGGCCTTGCTGCCAGTGCCGGGGTGAGGGTCGGCGTTGGCTCCCATCTGTTGTGGATGCTGCCCCGTGCCAGCATTTGACTGGGAAATAAGTGATTCAAAATCAGCTTGGTCTGTTCCCAGGGGTGAAGGGAGTCAGGAATGAACAGGCTTTTGTAAGGTTGTGATTGATGAGTCTGTAGAGTTTGTACTTGCAGAGGGGCCAGCCCTGGCTTTGGAGAGCCCCGGAGGGATGGGGACCCTGCCAGAGGATGTCTGGGTGAGCCGTGCCAGGGAGGACGTGGCAGGGAGGAGGATGAGAGCAGTTGAGGCAGGGAGGAAGAGAAGGATAGTCAGGGCAAGGAGGAGGAAGAGGATAGTTGGGTCAGGGAGGAGGAGGAGGATTATCAGGGTGGTTGTGGGGTTAAATAAAAGCTGTCAGTGATTTGAAAAGAGGAAAGGAAGAAAAAGAAAACCTGCTGAAGAGACACTCTCCCTTCTCACCCGGCTTGTGATCAGCCGCCCCCTCTGCCAGTGAGCAGCTGGCAGGCGGGCGGGGGAGGGGGGGGGGAAAAAAAAGCTCCTTCGCCCGACCCCGGCACCCCGATTGTTCCCACAGCCCCGGCTTGGCGTGGGCTGCGTGACCCTGGGGGGGACATGCCCCCATCACAGGTCCCTGGCAGGCTGGGGCAGGTGAGGTCTTGAAGCATGCTGCTGGGGGGAGGTGGGATGAGAAAGAGGAGGAGGGGGAGTTGTCTGAAATGCCTGGGATTCATCTCCCACTCCCCCTGCCCTTGTTCTGAAAGGAGCTGCTTGAGCTATCGGCTCTGGATTATATTAATTAGTGAAGAAGTGCTACGCCTGCTCATGGGGCCGTGCTGCCAGGAGGAACCGGAGACTTGGCAGGTCCATGCAAAGCAGCTACCGGGCTCCCCAAAACCCCTCACTCCAGCCCAAAATGAGCACGTCAAAAATGAGGCTGAGCCGGGGGCGCTGAGTCTCACTGGAGCTTCAGCATCTCCTCCTTGAGCCTGGCCGGCTGCTCACCCCCAGGGCTGAACCCGCTGGCCCTGGCATGTGGGGGGCTGTTGTGGTATGGAAGGCAGCACTGCGGTTTCGGGATGGGGCCCACCCCTCCTCACTGGGCCCCCACGTCTGTGGGCCAAGCAGGTCAGTCTGCAACACTGCCAGGTTGGCAGGTCCACGTGGTGGGGGGCTGCTGGGGCGGGGAGGTGAGGGCACATCCCTGACCCATGGTCTCCTGCTGTCTTTCAGGAGAGGAAGCTGTGTGCCCACCCCCGGATCGAGATCTACAAGGAGGACCGCATCTACTTCGTGTGTCCCCTCGCCCGCCAAGGGGACTTCTATGTGCCTGAAATGAAAGAACTGGAGAGGAAGAGCAGGGCTGCCGCAGCTGAAGCCGAGGATGCCCAGACAGACATCACAGGTATCCGTGGCTTGCGCATGGGCTCCATCTTCGATCGGCATCAGTCTCCCAAAGGTGGGGGTCCTGGTGTCCCTGGTGGTGCTGCCTGAGCAGGCCGGGAGGGGCCGACCTGCACCCACCTGGCACCCAACTGCTAAGTCTCAGCACACCTCTTCCCTTCACCCCGGGCTGAGATAGGATCTTATCCCCGAGGTGTCACGCTGTGCCTCGGCAAGCACCCGGGCACCTCTGCAGCATCGGGGTGAGGACCAAGCTGCCGCTGAGCCACTGGCCCACTGTTGTCAGAGCAGAGCTAGATCTCGCAGCTTTTGGTTGCAGCTGGGCTTGTTTTTCTCCTTGTCATATACATCTTCCTTGATCTTATCTTCATCTGTTACATATTGGGATTGCGACGAGCTTAAATACCAGGTTGCTGTAGCTCGTGGTGGAGTTGCCCGATAGCATCTGCTCAGCAAGATCTGTTGGAGCCTGGATGTATTCATACAGGAAGGGACCACAATGGCTGTAGGCGCAGAACAGCAGTGCTATAGTAACCCGAAATGCTAGTTGCCGTCACCGGCCCACGTGCCCACATGTCTGCGAGATGTGGGAGCCGGCTAGCCGAGCATTCCCGGGGGCTGGACGGCGTGCCCGAGCCAGCTGCTGGTGGGGACAGCCGCCTCCTCCTGCCCTGCAGGTTGCCCACGCTTGTGTAATGGGCATGAAAAAACCATGACGGCTCTCCTTGTCTCCTGGGGAGTTTGGTCATTTGTTTTAACACATCTTCAGGTTTGAGTTGCTTTAATTCTTAATTGCATGTGGTGTAAAAGCAAGCCTAGGAATTGCTTTCTGGGAGCTCTGTCCATTTAGCACTGCAATGAAGAGTCTAGTTGGAGCAGTTTCCCAGCGCTTCAAGGTCCTGTGTTTTCATGGTCCTCACTTAGCTCTTCACCTTTTTGTCTGACTTGCGTCGGGGCGGCCGCTTTGGGCACCGGCCTGGGTTGGCCAGAGGTGCCCCGCAGCCTATTCCCTCTCGCACCTGCCCATGGTTGTCCCTTGGTTTCGGAGAGGGACGGCAGGACCCATGTCAGCAAAAGTTGCTTCGGTTGGTGGCTTCAGCAGCTGTGTGTGCTCCTTTCTGCACCGCTGAGGGGGTGCACGGTCCCGCAGCACAGCCAGGGGCTGCTTGGTGCAGCCGCTGCCCTGTGCCCCGGCTGTCTCTCTGCTTTCCCTGGGACACCACTGCCAGTGTGCCCATGGTGGGAGTGTCCCCTGCCCTGCTGCAAGAAGGGCTGGGAAGGTCTTCCTGGTTTTAGACAGCAAACGATGTTGGGCTTTCTCATTTGGGAGACCCTGGGCCAGGCTCCCTGGCAGCAGCTCTGGGCCAGCTCCTCCACCATCCCTCCCCTTCCAGTCATGTAGATGAGCTTTTGTCGGTGCAATCTGAAGTGGTGTCATCTGCTGAGTCTGCACAAAACCAGCTTAAAATAATAATAACTGTGAGAGGTTGGCGTTGCCTCTGAGACTAAAGAGTTGAACTTGGATGTTGCACTGTGATCACTGTTGCTACTGGGCATGGCAGCAGAACCAGGTCTGGCGGTGTGTCACATTCTTGCTCCGACCGTCAGAGAGGGCCGAGGACGTGGCAAGCCTTCGGGTTGCTTGTGTTGCTCCTGCCTGAGGGTCTTGGATCTCCTGCATCTCTGTGATGTGGCAGTGCCCCGGGCTGGCACAACTGCTGGCGGCTGAGGAGGGTGGCACTGCATGGGGGGAGGTCCTGGGCTTGTGCAAAGGGAAACAGTGCCTGGTGAGCATCCTTGTCCCACTACCACTGGCCTGCTGACACCAGGGACTACTCGGTTTGTTGCCGGTGGTGCTGCCCCAGCCCCAGCCCTCAAGTGGCCATCTGGCTGCCCCAGTTTCAGCAGCAGGGTCAAAGTCAGGAGGCGAGGTGGGAGAGAGCAGCTGGTCTTGTTGGACTCTGCATCTCGACACTGAAGTCCTGCATGGGTTTTCTGAGCCCCGGTCTGAGATCCCACTGGAGGAGGCAGCCAGCAGATCTTCCCTCTGCCCAGCTGCTCACTGGAGACACCTTGAAGGAGATGTCTTGAAGATGATGCCTTGAAGTTGACACCTTGAAGACAACACCTTGAAGATGATGCCTTACGGTCCTCCCTTCCCAAGTATTTTCTATGCTGGGATCTCTGCAACCACCTCTGAGTTGGAGGAAGAGAAAGCCCCAATCTCTTTTCCCATCTTTTTTACTCCCTTCTTTCCTGGGGAGCCACTCAAGGAGCAAGCTTAGCTTAGCCACAGCCCCTTCAACAGGCATGATGGCCATAAAATCTTCATGACCCAGCAGATCCTGGGGTGTCTGTGACAGCTTTTGAGGTTTCCTCTGCCAGCTGGAGAGTGGACGCAGCAATGTCCCAATCTGCTTTTCAATGTGGTCCCCCATCAACCCCAGTTGCATGGATTTGGGTTATTTCTTGATCCACCTCAGCTCTACCAGTGTTTCAAGTGGTCCTGCCTTGATGGAGGCTCAGGCAGTGCTGGGATGTTCCTGGTGGGGGTCCCAGCTGGTGACACCTGGTTCCTCTGGCCATGCCTGAGCTGTGCAAGTCCAGATGTGGGGCTCTGACACCCTGCTGCTTCGCAGGGCGAGCGGGGGGACTGGGGAGGTGCTGAGCCCCTTTTGCTCTCCCTGAGGCAGCTGAGGATGCTCTATGCACAGCAGTCTTGGGCTCTCACTCCTGATGTGGCAGCAGATGAAACCGACTCTTGCCCCTGTCTCACGAAATACTGGAATAGCAGCATTAAATGTGCGATTTCAGTGAGCATCATATTTAGTAATGCTCTGCGTGGATGCAGCACCTTTTGGTCACGACTCACGCAGCTCCCCACCAGCAACTGTATTACGCTTTCCTTGAATTAAAGACTTCAGGAGTTCCTAGCAGAAGGCACTGCAATTTCTCCTTGCCTGTCGTTTTGGCTGGTGCCAGGTGGTACCAAGTGACTTGGATGTGTAAGAAAAGCTTGGATTAGTTTTCTTGAGCCTCCTGACCTTGGAGCGCATCTCTCCATTTAGGCTGTTGTCTGCTGTCCTTGCTCCCGAGCTCACCCTGCGATGTGGTGGGTGCCTGCGGCTCTGAGTGAAGCCAATGGCCGCAAAGGCTGTGGGATGTGGTCCAGGGTCTCTGCTTTCTGCTGCTGCTCTGCATGGAGCTCTGTCCGTCCGCTGGGGATGGCCACGCTCAGCACGCAAGGAAGGGGCCAGGGGCTGCGGCTGCCTCCACACCAATTCCGTCCCTTCTTCACCATCATCAGGGTCATCGGAAAGACGGGAAGCATTTTTGGAAGGCAGCTGATGGGTCTCCAGGGGGCTAGTGTCAATCACGATTAGTTGGTTTGTACTTAATTATTTTCTGGGGCTTTGGCATCAGCACAGCGCTCAGCGGGCCCTCGCTCCCGGCTCACTCTCAGCAGCGTGCTCTCCAGCGTGACCCTGCTGCGGCGCATGGAAGGTGAAAGCAAACAAAAGCAGCCTCTCGACGCGGGCTTGCTAACACAAACACAGATGGTTTCTAAGCACATGGCTCTGCCCAGAGTCTCAGGTGCTCATTTTCCTGGAGCTGAGTCTGTCCAGCAGCATTCGGGTGCAACCGATGGCATCACCCGCCGAGCCCCAGTGCCATGGGGGAGGCACTTTCCCTTATGTGCTCTGCCGCATCCCTGCTTGCTTCCATCCTCCGAAGAGCCCTGCCTGTTCTGCCTGCCTGTGCATCCCGAGAAGGGTCTCGGTGCGTGGTTCCTGCCATGCCTGCCTGCCCCAGCCCCTCTCCTGATGGCTTGTGTGTGAGCTTCAGCAAGCACGGAGGAGCTGTGCCCCTCCTGGCAGCGCATTGATCTATTATTTAGTGGCAGAGGTGATGAATATTTGATCGAACGGGGAGAAAGAGAGGGCCCAGGTGCACCAAGAGGGGAGCGATGCTCGGGCATCAGTGTCACGCTGGGGCGATGTGGGAGGGGAGCCTGTCCTCCTTCCTGGGGGGATCTGGGGATGCCAGTACCCGGGGTGGCACAGGGCTGAGCTGCCTGGGGGGGCTGGCTCCCCGCCAGGCTCATTAGCAGCGTGGGGGCAGGGGTTGCCATCACACCCATCCCCGGCCGGTCTCAGTGTTGGCTGCTTGGCTTTCCTTCTTCTTAGGTGGCCCTGGCCTTTTCAGGGCTCCTCAACACCCCAGCAGGGCTTCACCCCAGGCTGTGCTTCTTTTTCCCATTTGAAGCGTTCTGGGGTCCATGTTCCGGCTGAGTGAAGGTGCAGCTGGATGGCTACACCGTCCTCGGGGGAGCGTAGCGGAGAGGGGGTTTCCAGGGGAAAAGCCACCTTGCACAGATGAGAGGGAAAAGCCACACTGGATCTGGGTGCAGGGACCGGCCTTGGGAAGTGGAATGCAGGGGATGGGCAGCAGCTTGCTGGGAGACCAAGCAAAGTCCCCGGGGCAGGATGGGGAAGTGGGTGCGAGGGCTGCCAGGAACCTCCATACCCACGAGATGAGAGCTGAACCCCTGCTTGCCCACAAGGCACCTTCCAACGAGACTTTGGTTGCCCTCTTGGAGCCCCGCAGCATTCCCTGCCCGGCCTCTCTGGGCTGTGCTGGGACAGCTGGGGGTTTCTGCCACATCCCCCTGCCCGAGCTGACCCCACACCATCCCCAGCAGCAGCAGCTCCGTCTCTCGGCCCTGCCTGCCCCAGCCATCCATCCCCAGCCCGGCTGGGTGGCCATGCCAGAGCCAGCCTTGTTCTGTGCAGAGGAGAGCGAGGCTGCTGAAATGGGCAAATTTGCCAGCTGAGGCTGCTCAAACATGATCAGAAGTGACAGAGCGGTGAAAAAGTGCCTGGCTGAAAGGAAACAGGACTCAATTTATTGTTGCCCTTGGAGCAAGGGAGAGGGGAGGCAGCTGCTGGGGGTGAGGACAGCGGTGCCTTCCTGTGGTGCGGAGCAGCATGTAGGTCAGCTTCATCCCCGTCTTCCCCTTCCTGAGCTGCTGCTCCTCTCCTCAAGAGCTCCTTTGCTTTGTGGCATGGGGTTATGTGACGACTTCCCAGCCGAAACGGCCCCCGGGATGATGCGGGCAGGGTGCTGTGCGGGCAGGGCACAGCTTGGAGAGTCGGGGTCACTCTTGTCCCAGGTTTCAGAGGGATGTGAGATAACCACGAATGACGTGAACTGTCATGAAGCCATGGTGGGAATGTGTCCGGGTCACCTCAGGCCACCAATTTGGGCAAATTGGATTATTTCTTGGTTTAGATCCCTGCTAGAGACCTTGTAAACCCTTAGCTGTCTTCAAGGCTCGGAGTCTGTGCCCTCCCCTCTGTCCCCCGC